CGTACAGGGAGCGGGAGAGCGGGCTCCGCAGCGTCCACATCCTCCGCGCCAGCCACTCGGACGCCAGGCTCAGGCACAGCCAGCCCACCAACAGTCTCATCGGGGGCCGCGGCCGCTCGCTCGGATCACCGCCGGCGCCGGGGCGAGGAGGAGGAGGTGCCGCCGCCTCCAGCCACTACCGCCGCCGCCCGGGCTCGAGCCATCGCGTCCAACTTGCCCATCCAGCCCCTTCAGGGCCGAGGCGGGGAGTGGCGGGGGGAGGAGCGGCCGGCGCTCAGCCTTCTCACCTCCCCCTTCCCTTCCGCCCGCGGAACGCCAACGCCGCTGGCGCTAGTTTCCAGCCGGAGCACGTACGCTCGACTGGGGCGCGTTCTCTCCGGGCGCGCTCCTTCCGTTCAACGTGTGGGCCGGCCGGGAGGCGGGACAAAGAGGCGCGCATTCGCCTGGCGCGCGCGTCTGCCTTGGGGCTGCAGGCGTTCGGCGCAATGGCGGAGAGGCTTGAACCGAAACCTCTCCTCCTCTCCCAGGTGGTGCTCACAGAGCCTCTGGGCCCTTCATCCCACCCCACGGCAGGACTTTGACCTGGTTGTACAGACAGACCCCAGGATGAGCAGTCTCGACCCTTCCCTGGGCCTTCGCAGAGTCAGACGCTGCCAGTTCTTGTTTCTGCGTCAGCTGCCTAGTTTCCAGTTTAGGGCCGACAACCGAGACTCCCACTCCCCAAACTCCCACCCTAATTGGCAGTAGCTGCAAAGCAGGGCATTTAGAGGGAAAGACCGACCTCTGCCTTGCTCTCACTCCCACCACACCACCGGCGTGAGGGTTCCCCAAGCCTGACAAGTTGCTGGCTACGTGTTCCTAAGAGGCAAGAGTGAAAGAAAGCTCTGCCTTTGTTGGAAGCTTCTGTAGCTGGAGCAACCATAAGGAAGCAATGTGCGAAATAGATGAGCCTTGCCCAAGAATGAAACACCCCAAGTTTGCTCCCTATAAGTAACAGACGGAAGTTGGACTCAACACTTGGAGCGATCTCAGCTCTGGGAGATTGACCCGGATGTTGCTTTGATGTTTATAGGACAAGGAGACCTAATATTTCAAAACTGAAAAGTTACGCTGTGTTCCTGTGTCTGAACTTCTTCCTGCTGCTTCCCGAGCAACAACTAAGGAGTAACACATTTCCTAGGCCCTCTAATAACACCTTCCCAGGTTTGTTTTGGAGAATGCTTTTCATTTGCACCAGGAATTATGTAAATGCTCTTCATTTTAGTTCAAAGCAAAAGAAACAAATCTTTTGGTTGATTTCCTATTTCACTTCAGGGATTTTCATTTATAAAATAGTGGGGTAGTGACCCACAGATGGGGAACAAAATAATTTCTTTACCCACAAACTCTTCTATTTGCTGCTGAGAATTGTAACAGACTGTACCTGGCCCAAAACATTTAAAAGGAACTATGGTAGCAAGTCCAAATAACTCAGTTTCTGTCTCCTGGGTCACCTTTCCCATCTCTTGGGATCAGTGTCACAGATAAAGCTGCTCTCTCCCAATAGGGGAGAGAGCTACAAAGCAACAGGAGCACATAAAATGACATATTTCGTTTCTGAAGACAAAGGACACAAAAAGGTATGCCCCAGTTATAGTTTCTTGCCTAATTACAGCTTTAAGATGGCCAAATATGTCAGATGAATCTGAAGCAAATAGATGGCAGCACAAGTCTGAAGGATTTGGGTTGACAAAGCCTGTCATTGCAAAGGAGTGGATTTTGCTTTATACCTGAGCAGCCAGCCTAGAAAAACATAAATCACCCACACACTTAAAATATAACTGATAACCACAAAATGCACAGATACATGTTATTTACATTTAGCAAGCACAGGAAGAACCCAAAGCACAGCATGATCAAATGATTTGCCTAAAGGTAACAGCAAATACCATAGCCGACCTTTTCATACAGCTTGGTATCCCAGCTCGAGGCTCTTCCATCCATCTAAGAAGGCTTGCTGTCTCTTGTCAGAGAGCCTCCTGAATTACAAATGAGGAGGAAGGAAAACAGCAAGAGTAAATATACTAAGCAGAAGTTCAGATTGCCCTCTGGGACTGCCCCCTTCCTTCATCTACTAGAATGTCACTACTGTATATTAAAACTTCGGTTATCCATAATGGGGAGGGGAAAGGTATAAAGAATCACACACACACACACACACACACACACACACACACACAAGCCAAATATGAGCCAATACCCTCTCTAATGTGACTTTGAAATGCAGTCAGTGATATTCAAAAGACCCATAAATGATACCCTCTCCCTTATCTGAGGTGTCTAGACTGCATCTTAGCTCTGTCACGGGCCCAAAATTTTAGCTGGATTACTTTCCTAGCTAGGTATCCAAGCGAAGGCTTTTTGTTGTTGTACTTTGAAGCTATAAAATATAGCATTTCCATGTTCTTTTTTCAATTACAAAGCCCAATGTATAAAGAACCCATGGGGAGAGAGACTTGGATCTACAGAAGGTCCAAAACATGCTGGTCACTGTGATTATCTCCCTGAAGAGCTAATGGTGTAAAAAGAGCTCAAATAATTACATATATTCATGGACAGATTTTTTTTATGCTTCTTAATCATTTTGGGTACACCTTCAGAGAAATATACAAGTTTTTTCAATATATTCAATAAAATGTGTCCTGTGGTTATTAAGTGATAAACACCTATAAAATTATAGCATTAGTAATTGTATTTGTTAAGATTTGGATCTTAAATAAACTCCCCCCCCCCAGGCCCATATGCTAAAGGCTTCGTCACCAGCTTGTGGCACTGTTGGGAGGTGATGGAACCTTTAGAACTTAGGACATAGTGGTAGAAAGTTAGGTCATGGGGGCATGTCCTTGAAGGGGTACTGGAATGCTAGCCCTTTCCTCTTGCTCTTTGCTTCCGGCAGTCATGAGGTAAACAAGTTTCCTCCACCACATACTTTTGCTATGATATGCTGCCTTCACAGGACCAAGAGACCATGGACTAAAACCTCTAAAACCAGGAACCAAAACAAACCTTTTTCTTTATAAGTTGATTTTCTCAGGTGTTTTGTCACAGTGATGGAAAGCTAACAATTTTCAATTTTTAAAAAATTAGGGTTCAGGTTTTTAATCTGAACTTAGTTGATATAATTTCAATCACTTGTAGTGACGTCACTGTGTCCTCCATTTGATCAATTCTAAGTCAAGATGAAACTGCAAACAGGTTTTAAACTGCCTGAAATAGAAGAATTGATCCAGGTGTCAGGAGGAATTTGGATAACATGGTAAGCTCTCAAGCTTAGCAAGGGGGTATCAAAACAAGGGCCACAAAGAGTAAATGTACAAGAGTAAATCCAAATAACAAAGCATATCTATCATTGGAGATCCCCCAATGCTGCTCATTAGCAAAGCAGTTTACCATTTGCACTCCTGAGACTAGCTGGGTTTGAAGCCTGGTTCTCTTTTCTTAGTTATATAATTTGATCTCCAAGTCTCAATTTTCTATTTTTAATATTTATTTTTTAGTTTTAGGTGGACACAATATCTTTATTTTTTATTTTTATGTGGTGCCAAGGATCGAACCCAGTGCCTCATGCATGCTAGATGAGCACTGTACCACTGAGCCCCAACCCCAATCCTCCAACTCTCAATTTTCTTTTCTGTAAAATGGAAATAGCAGTAATGACTACTCATCTCATGGAGATATGATGAGGATTATATTATATACTTAATATAAAGGGCTTAGTGTAATGCCTTAGCACATAGTAAGCACTCAAAATATTAACTTGTTTTCACTTTATCTTGGATAAATCAACTTCTTCTAAGTATCCCTTTATTCCTCTATGAACCTGAGGCCAAGATTCAGAGCTGTCTACTTCACATTACATCTATGAGAATCAACTAATCTGAAAACTCAACTGTAAAACATCAACCAAGTATGCTCAGTCCTAATTGGCTTTGGCCTCTCCATAAATCACTCTCTTAAAACCAAGGATGATAATTTCTCTAAATAGTGTGTTTATCCTCAGACCCCTTCATGATATTTCAAACCAACTAGTCAGGGAAAGAAATATACACAGAGCCAAAAAACATGCAAACATGAAATCACAAAACCAGGCAGGAAACTCAGGTTATTTACTTATCAGAGATGCCTCACTTTTCATTAGGAGTCTTTCCCTGTCTGATATCAAGAATTCTTCCCAGCTGGCTCATTTCTCTACACTGTGACAACCATGGTACTTCACCTGCTTCCAGAACCTTCTGAACTCCCAGTTTCCCTCCCATGGCATCCTTACCCTTGCCTCAGTTTATGTCTAGAATATCAGCAGAAAGACAAATATCATTTTCATACACAGTAATGCTTTTTGAATACATGCAGTGTACCGGGCACTGGTCTTTGTGGGATGGAAAGGAAAAGAAACACGTCTCACCTTCATAGAGCTTCCTGTCTAATAGGGAAGCAGAACCACCCCGTAATCATGCAGTGAATAAATAATCACAAACTTCTGAGTGCTAGAAATGAATTGTATATTGTTTTTTTAAAAAGTAAGAGAACCCCACTTAATTTGGGTGTGAGAAGAGGAGATTATTCAGGGAAAGCTGCCCCCAGGAAATGTGGCCTCTGTGGCCCTTGTTTTGATACCCTCTTGCTAAGCTTGAGAGCTTACCATGTTATCCAAGTTCCTCCTGGACTATAACAAAAAAGTGTGAGAGCAGAAACAGGGTACACATCAGAGCCCTCTGAAATGTGAGGAATCTCAGTGTCTCTCACACACACTCCTGGATTTTGGAAGAAAACTAAATGAGGTCATGTCCATACAGCTGCCAGCCCAGTGCCCTATTTAGAATCTCAATTCTCAAGTGGCAGATCCGATGGCTGCTGTTATTGAAGCACAAGGCCAAAGTGAACCCAACCCCCTTTGGACAAGCTACTTAAGCAGTCCCGAGGATGAGCAGCCATGCACTTTAAACTTAATCTCATTCAAGTCAGATTCCACTAAGGAGAGTCCTTTGACATAATACTTAGCTAAATCCTAGACTCCCCAAACAAATCAGTTTCTCAATTAGAAAGAGAGAGGGGGAGAGAGAGAGAGAGAGAGAGAGAGAGAGAGAGAGAGAGAGAGAGAGAGAGAGAGGAGAGAGAGAGAGAGAACCACCAAGGTGTCCCTTTTTAAAAAAAAAAAATTTAGTTATAGATGCACACAATACCTTTATATTATTTATTTATTTTTATAGGGTGCTGAGGATCGAACTCAGTGCCTCACATATGCTAGGTGAGCACTCTCCTACTGAGCTACAACCCCAACCCAATTGTCCTTTTTTAAGGCACAATTTCTTTATCATATAGAAAGCTTCAACTTGAGAGATCACAAATCATTTTTTATTGTGAACATAAATTAATTCTAACTGATGGTGGTATAACTGGTGTCAAACAAGAATCATGTAAGAAAATTGCTATTTTGATTTAGTGTCCCCTATGACTCAGTTTCTTTACATGTGCAACCGTTTGGGGATGCTTGAAAGAAATCTGTACATATAATTGTCTAAGCAACTTAAAGGAAAATATTTTTAAAAAATATGTATTTCTACTAAGTAAGGTCCTTCCAATCACAGGTCTGTGAGTCAGTGCTCTGAAAAGAGAAAAGCCTGTTGTTTTCATTCCATTTCTGGGGCATTTTCAAAGGTCCAAAGATCTTTCATGTTGTTTAAAATATAATTTCCAAACAACCCATATCCTTGGCCTCTTAATTGCTATCTCCTGTGCGTATGTGGGTTTGGTCTTATGAATGGCTGCTTCCTCTCCACCCAATTCACCATATAACTTTTATGACACTGTTTTGATACACTTATTTTGAAGCTCTAAAGCCTTCTTATTTTGTGACTGTTAAACATTCAAACTTCTGTATGAAACAGGAAAAAAAATTGCACTATACAGTGAGAATGCTTTTAAAACTAAATATTTTCTACTAGACCAAATATGCATGTACATAAACAAGTTATCTGAAAGAGTTTGTGTAATATACCACAGAAAAACCACATCACCGCTGGCATGAAAAAAAGACCACTATTTTATTTTTGCATAACCGCAAACTGGTCCAAAAACGAGGAAGAACGCTTTTATGAAAGAGGATACTTGAGCAATTAACCAATCTGAAAATCAGACAGATCTCCCTTCTCTGGTGAAAACTGATTTTTTTTTTTAATAGCCACAGATAATCTAAGCTTGTTTTACGATTTAGCCAAACCTCCTCAAACTTACTGTGTACAACTCATTTAAAAAAATTAAAAAAAAGAAAAGGCATTTGCCTACTAGAAAACTAAAGCTGACGCATTGTGAGACCCTCAGTCTTTTTCCTCTCCAGTTATGGTTTCCCCTGATTAAGCATTCTTTGTTCCGTACAGTTTCCTAAAACTGACAAAGTCAATACTGAATGCAGCTATTTAAGTTATTCTACAATAGAAACTTTATTTCTCAGTTATTTAGATCTCATGCATGCCAGGCAAGCACTCTACCACCCAGCTACAGCCCTAACCCAATGCCCAAGTCTTTTGTAAACATTTGAAACATGTCAAGTGTGGGCATTACTGTCTAGTGGCTCTGCCCAACCAACAGAACCCAGGTTCTACCTTCTGCCTGCTTTACGACTCCTGAGGTCATACAGAAGCTGGTTTTGCTCATGAGCTTCAATAAAGAATAGTTTATATGTGAATATAAATTATTTTCAGAATCAAAACTATAAAATGACACTGGAGCTAAATTTGCTATGTCTCAAATGGATATCTTATAATTGAAACACATTCCTTTGGGTTAGTTAGATGAATTTTTTGCTTTCATAAGGAGACATGTTTACAGATAATTTTTACCACATCTACAATGCTCATTGAGGTTATTCAATGAAATAAGTCTTCGGGAAAAAGGTCATCCTTTTATAATTTGATGACATTTTGGATTCATGCTTAGAATCTGCACCCTGTTTTTTTATACTTTTTTTTTTTAACAGTGATTG